GTTGGAAAAACAAGGCAGATAAAAAGTGCTCAGCATATGGTGGCCAAGAAGCATATAGAGGCAGAGAGGAAGGGAAATATGCTTCCAAGGCACACTTCCAGTGACCTCCTTCCTCCAGCTAGGTCTCACCTTCTCCAGTTTACATCGATCCCTGTGATGCATCCAAATTATTAATCCATCAAATGGATTAATCCACTGACAAGGTTAGAGCCTTCATGATCCATCCAGTCATCCCCTAGAAGCCCTGCCTCTGAACATTGATGCATTGGGGACCAAGAGTTAAACACATGAGTCTTTGGGGAATACTTCATATCCAAACCACAACAATTTCCATCCTGATATTCTTTCTGAGGCCTACTGTAGACTCCATACAGCTCCCCAGTCTATGCTAACACTTAGAACATAATTGATAAAATGGACAAAGTCGAATGGCTGCTTTGACTGCAGCACAGAACAGCAGTAAGACCTCCTCTTGCTCTGGATCTTCCTCAAAGCTGAAAACCTTTCAGGGCACCTGCTGGGGAAGTCTAGACAGCACACCATAGTGTGGTATTTATTGTTTCCAAAGTCTATGGAGGCCCATCCAGGTTTGTTCCTGTCTCTTGGTAGTGGCTTATTTTTCAGACCCAGAATTTCTTTTCTTTTTCTTTGTTATCTTTTTCTTTTCTGTGTTTTTATTTTCTTTTTTTTTCCAAATTAGGTTCTGCTCGTTTATTTGGGTCTAAGAGACATTGTGATTAATTAGTCTGCATTCCTATAAACATCCTTTCATTGTGCATCGTTAAATTCCTAAAGGAAATCTCCTTTCTAAGGAAGCTGAACAGAGTTTTTAAGCTGAACAGGATGACATTTCAACAGCACAACATGAATAAGTGTCACAAGAAAGGACCAAGATACCTGAGCTGCTTCTTTGGAATGATTTTGTTGCCCACACAGAGAATGCTCTTCTAGGTATTTTCCCTCATACATTAAGCTAAAGACTATCAATCCTGAAATTACTTATAACATTTACACTAAGATGTCTATTAAGTGTGCAGCTAGGATTTTTTTGGTGCCCAGACCTGATACCTAGTTATTCCATGGGATATCTTCATCTCTAGATCTTTGCTATATATCTGTGGCTTCTTATAGAAATTTTTGATTAAGCATCATATTCATTTATTATTACTGCAAAATTGTAAGCTACATAGAGTCTCTTGAACTGACGTAACATAATTTGTGCCTTTTTCATTTTAGGAACTCCTTTCTGACACTTGAATATGTAACCAATCACCAGCTCTATATATTAATTTTTAGAGTTGCTTCTTTTCTCTTCAAAGATCTCTACAAGTTAGAAGAAATGAAGAAGAAAATCAGAAGATGAATAAGAAAATGAATAAGAAGATGAATAAGAAAGAAGCAACTCTTAAAATTAACGTTTTTCTTCTTTCTGCTTGATAGGAGACCACATGTGTGGCTGGACTTCCCAATGTTGACTTATTTTTCTGTCCATTGCTCTTCTACCATATATTTATTTTGACTTGAAATTTAAGATAATTTGTGGCTTTTGGCTCCTATGTATATTTAGAGCACTTCTACTTCATTCATTCTTTTTTTTTTTTTGTCACATTGTCCCTGAATAATTTTTTGGACATGCATATAGGCTTACCTGATGATCTCATTCATAGTCACAAAGAATCTTCCCATTTTTTTCCACTTTCATCGGAAGAGTTTAGACTAATTAACATAACCAAAAATTCACTATAGTTTAGTCTTGCTTGTCTCTCCAGAACTTTCTTCCAGCCAGACAGAAACCCACTATATTAAAAATAATATTGTTATCAAAAAATGAAAGTATCCTCCTAAATATACCTGTGGTAAGAGAAATAATATGATCTAAGGAAGAAGACACTAGAAGCTAAGCCACATTCCTATTTTATTAAGTGAAAAACTTTTTTGATTCTTAGTCTATGAAATGTCCCCTAGCTTCAAAACTGGAACAACTGTTTTTTTTTTTTTTCAGGAAACTATTTATCTGGTATTAGGACTATGTTTAGATTTTAAACAAAGAAAAACTTCTGTTTAGGCAAAAATAAAAATAAAAATTTTCCTTAGATTTTCTTATTCATCTTCTCATTTTCTTCTCAATTTTGGTCTAACTTGTAGAGATCTTTGAAGAGGAAAGAAGCAGTGAGGTTGAGAAAAGTCACAGAGATGAGGGTCTTAGAAGGAATTTTCTGTCAGCTGAACACCTACTGCTAGTGAGGAACTGGAATGAGGGCTATGTATATATGTGTGTGTGTATATATATCTTAGATATGATACCATAGTACATATTACATATCATATATTATTATATTCATATATAATTTAATTTATATGAATTTAATTTATATAATTTAGATTTATACACATAAATCTAAGATCCACATTTATTTAAAATTGGAATATGTCAGAAATGTCTTAAAATCAAATACTTTATATTTGATAAAATACTCCTTGCTTAATCTGAACATCAACTTCTTTAAGATTTGTAGACCAAAAATCTGTAGATCAAGGAGATTATTTATCCCAAGACACTAATGGAAGAATGAGGATTTAAGCCGAGATCTGGATAATTCCAAAACCCTTTAGAAATTATAATTATTACTTCAGATTTGGAGTAAATGACTACTATTCATTATGACAATTTAGGGTCCAAAATCATCTCATTTAGCAAAAGTAACCGAACTAAATGAAATGAGACGAGATCCACTCTCACCATATGACAAGACTTGAAGGAGGAAATACTAATGAGAGAGTCCAGGCCAAGAATCACAAATGCCTACTGAAGTAGGAAAGGTAGTGGGTGGCATGGGGGTGAAAAGTGACTAGCATCAGGTAAGGATCAAAAAAAGAAAGTGGAGACTCTAGTGAATAGCAGTAGAAATTTGCTGTGACCAGTGAGGGAAAGTTTAGTTAGAGGTAGTGGTGTGTTTTGTCAGGCAGACAGAGCCTGGGTGGTAGACAGCTCAGCACAAACAGTACAAGACGATGCAAACAGAGAACCTCAGAGATCTCTCAACAAGTAGCAGGTGACAGACACCCGTCCACAGAAAGGTTACAACACACACTGATGCCTGCACATATTTTCACTCTGGAGGCAAATAGTTTTGATGCTCATTGATGAACATGATTTTTCTAGGATGGCACATAGAACAAAATCCTGGGGTTGGGAGATACCAGAAGATGAGAGAGCCAAATAACATAATGCAAAGAACCCTAGGCTTGATGCAGGAACTGTGATTTGTAGCATTGCTTTGATAGAAATAGGAAGAATTACACTTTAGTCACTTTGACTCTTGTGGTGAAGGTTGACATAGGTGCCCACAGAAGAGGTATGATCTGTAAGCTGGCCAGGTTGCTGCTGCTCAAGTTACATGGCATTCTGCCTTTAGCTGTACAAGGGCATAGATTCCTTTTGAGGCCAATGAGCAATACGATGTCTTGTCTCTGCTGGAGGTTTGGCTGAAAGCTGAACATGCCACAGGAAAAGCATATTCAAAGCAATTCATCAGCATCGGCCACAGGAAAATGAGGGAGAAGTCCCCTGGACCAGTAAGTGATCCATTAGCTAAGTTTATCCCTGCATCCCCTCATTTCCCTAGCATTTCCCTTAGCCCCAGAGCAGTTAAGTCTTGAAGGGAGACGTGAAGAAGTGACACAGTACCAAATTCCACATCCCATCTCTCAAGGTGCTGGGCTGGGAGTAGTGAAAAGAGCAAAGAGAAATATGCATCCAGCAATGAGGGAGAAGAGAATATGACATTGATAGGAGGTTGCAGTTTTAAAGTGGCATAGGTTGCACTTCTAAAACTCACGGTGCATGCAAAGTGATGGGAACTACCTAGGATGTTATTAAAGTGTCTCGGCAAAGGGAAACTCCAAAAAAGTACAGACTAAAAAGCCCTAATCCTGAAATCTAAAATCCTTGGAAATCCTCAAATCTGGTAAGATCTATGCAAATATTCTGACATATAGAATGCTGTGAATCTGAAACACTTCTGGTCCCAAGCATTTCAGATATGGAACTCATTTCAGATATGGAAACTGTATATTTGATAGTTAATTTTACGTGTCAATTTGACTGGTCCCCTAGGTGTGCCAGTATTTGGTTATGCAGACATGTCTTTAAAAAATCAGGTGTTTTATATTTGATAAAATATTCCTTGCTTAATCTGACAGCAACTGTATTAAGATTTGTAGACCAAGAATTTGTAGATCAGGGAGATGATATACCCCAAGTCATGAGTGGAAGACCGAAGATGTAAGTTGAGGTCTGGATAATTCTAAAACCCTTTAACAAATTATAGTCATTGCTTCAGATTTGGCATAAAGTCATTACTTCAGATTCTGGGTTTGTCTGTGATGATATATTTGGAATAGATTAACATTCTAAACCATAGTTTGGGTAGATCAGTCTGCCTTTTCAAGGTAATAGGCTTTATTTCCTGTTGATTCTGTTTCTCTGGAGAGTCTAGACTAATACACTAATACACTATATTTTAAGAAAACAATTTAAAAATTATTCTTGGTTTACTCCCAAGAAAATTGAAATTTTGCAGTAAACTGGTTATAATGGTGTTATAAAACAGTATCACATCACATAGTTATGAATATTCAACTATATCTCTGAATTACCTTCACTGGTTTTATGAGTTTAGTTCTAGCACATCTATCCAATTAGTATTCAAATATAACAAGTTACTTTTAACAGAAGCATACCATATTATTAGCCCAGGGAAGGCATTTTAATCAGGGCCCTACTTTCTTAAGACATCATCTCTGAAAATGTCTCAAAGTATTAACTATTATTTAGGGACAGAATTTCATGGGTTCACTTTTCGTTTACAGTGAGAAAGGGCGTCAAGGAAAAGGGGGACTGAAATAACTCATTTCAGCCACAGAAAATATGAGACTGTTTGGAGAAGAAGGCAATTTTTGCAGTACCACAATTATTAATTTGCCCTCCTTCTTTTTAGATGCCTTTTTAGATGTGACTGTGACTCTCTGGATAGCACATTCTCAATCTCAGCCTCGTTACCGACTCATACCAAAGTGGACTGAGGACAAGTCATGCCCAAGTTATAAACTTTTGCTTTGAAATGGAAGAAAGCCTGGGATTTAAATGACTCTTTTCTTATGCCATCCTACCTGCTTCATTTGCTCCAAGTGTTTTCTTTCAACATGAAAAACATGGCAGGTCATTAAGAGGGGGAATGAGGTAGTTTATGACAGTCTCAGTTTACTCTCTTCAAGGTTCTTGTCTGTGCATGTCTTTGGTGTCTATATGTAGTCCCCTGGATCAGTTCAAACTTATTCATACTTGAAGTCTATGTGAGGCTGGGACATTTAGTCATCAATAGTTTACCCCAACATTGTAGCTGTCATTGGCTAGGCAGGGGACATAAAGCACACCCAGCTAGGATTGTAAATGGCAATAGTTAAAAATTTATTTACACAGTGTAGTCGGGGTTAAGGGAACCAATAAGGGATGTTGAGATGTTCAAAGTAGGAAGTGGTTACTACTGGAAGGCCTGAGCAGCAGCAGGAAGAAACAGGATGCAAATGGTACAGAATACCAGCAGCCATCACAACTGAGTGCCAAGCAGGAAGCAGCAAGGGACCAGAAGTGTCTTTCTTCTCCTGCCTTCCTGTCTCCTGTTGGTGGAACTCACCCAAAAGTCAGAGGACAAGGGAACCCATGGTTGGGCCCCCTGGCCCACAAAGCAGGTGGAGGAAGGCTTTTGGGGTGAGGGTAGGGAAAGACTATTGGGGAATAATTGACCTAGTTATTTTGAGTATTTAAATGGCTTGATATATTAGACTTATTAGTTCTGCATTTATTATTGAAATACTATTTTAAAAAATAAATTTATTTCTCTGTCAAAGCCTGAGTATTCTTATGCAATTGTTATTTATAGTCTAGTAACATTCATGATTCTGAAACTGCATTGGGATCTTCCAAATAATGTATCTAATATATCATTTATTTATGACCAATGATAAGAGGAATGGGGATAAGAAAAGTAGTAGAATGAAACAGACATTATTATTGTATGTATGTATGTGACTGTTTGACCAATGTGATTCTACAATATGTATACTCAGAAAAATGAGAAATTATATCCCATCTAAATCCTAGGTATTTTGAATAGTATCATGTACTTATTGCTGTTTATTGACTATCTTTTGAATTAAATTAAAAGGTCATTTTCCACAAAGTATACGTGTTGTATCATGTGAAAGCTTTCTGGAGGCATCCTTTGAAAGAACCTTGGAGGACGGCTGGGACTTGAAGGTGTGAGAGAAGTGTTCACCAAGCAATGGAAAACTTAGCAAAATCCAGAGGCCAAAATTGAATGATATACAGGAGACTTGTGAAATTCTATTTAGTTGCTGGTTAGGGTTTAGGGAGAAGACACAAAGGCTGGAAGAGTAGCTTTAAGACAGATCATTGAGAGCTTCCATTGGCTAGCAAAGGTTCTGATGAACAATCAGAAAACATTGAAGTATATATGGAAAGAGGTAGTTTATTATTTTTTTAATTTTATTTGTTTATTTTAGATATAAATAACAGTAGAGTATATTTTGACATACTTATAAAGGGAGTGGCTTATTTAAAAATACATTATGAAATGATAAAGCTGACAACATCATAACTAATGGATTAATGGTGTGTTAATCAGTCTTTTGTTGCTATGACAAATATACCTGACACATACCCCTTGGAGGAGAAAAGGTTTATTTTACCTTACACTTCAGAATTTTCAGTCCCATGGTGGCCCAACTCCATTGCTCTGAGCTTCAGATGAGGCAGAACATCATGGCAGAAGGGCATAGCAGAGGAAAGTACTCAGCTTATGGATTCTAGTAAGCAAAGAGGAAGGAAGAGGCCAATCAAAAGAATACCCCCAGCAACCTACTTCCGCCAACTATGTCCTACCTCCTGCAGTTTCTGTCACTTCTCAGTGATCCAACCAAATTATTAATCCATCAAATGATCCAGTCATTCCCTAAAAGCTCAGGCACTAAGTAAAATCGGTGAATTTTTTATTTTATTCAAATAAAAACTATTTGGTTGGAATCTTCTGGTCAATCAACTGCAAGAAGATATGGTTTAGGAAGGATTTTTTGTGTGACCTTTCAGAGAAACAGGATCAGACAAAGTATAGAAATAGATATAAGCCTCATCTTTGATAATAAAATTAGAGCCCTCATGATCCAGTCATTCCCTAAAAGCTCCACTTTCAACACTGCTGCGTTGAGAACCAAGCCTTCAATGCAAGTCTGTGGGGGATATTTCACATCCAAACTACAACAGTTGGGGAAAATGCTGGAGGAAGCAACACTAGCCTGGTAATAATCCTTCCAACAAATCTCTCAGGTTGTTTGGTGCAAAATTAGTGGTTTATTATCCAGTGCATGAGAAGCGCAGGATGACTCAGTACACATCCAAAGCAGTAGCTCCTAACTACCAGATTCAGGACAAGGAGGGACCTACAAGGTCAGCTCACAGGGTCAGCTGAGATCTCATATGCAGTGACAGAGAGTATGGCTCTTGACTTCCAAGGACATAGAAATTAAGATAGGAATTTCCTGGCCTCCAAGAGTAAGAGAGAGGAGTGGTTCCAGGCCTCCACTATGAATCAAGCCCCAAGTCACAGAGTCAGTCTCTTTCTCCATCCCCCACTCCCCTGTCTATCCCCCCCTCTCTCTCCCTCCCTGCCCTCTTTCCCCCTTCACCTTCTCTTTTAACTGTTTGGAAAGTACCAAAGTGGGAGAAGGGAGATGACTCACTCACCATACTTTGGGCTCAGTGATTATTACTATTTCTTCTCTTTAATGGTCTTTTGTTTACCAAAAAGTTATACTCCTCCTAGATAATCAATCTTTTTCTCAGTATCCGTGCTCACCAACCACCCCCACTCTAGCAATTTTTAATCTTCCCATGACCCCTCTTGGGCCTCTTCCTTACTGTTCAGAAATTTCTTGGAAGAAATCCATTGTCAGATCATTGTGCATCGGTTATTACACCTCTAGACTGTGATGTTCTTGAAAACGGAGATATTTATTCACTTCAGCATTGTGAATATCTAGCGTGGGGTCTCGCATTTCATAGAATGAAATAAATGTAGGCTAAATGGTTACATAGAATTACAGCAGCAGCCATCTTTTTTTTAAAGTCTATTTTATCAGTTTTAATTATGGGGTTCAATTTTGTTTTTCTTATAGAAAAATCATGCTATCTGTGAATTTATTAATTGAATTACTTATGCCAATAGCTTTTCATAGGGTCAGTGTTCCTGTCTTCTCAGGCTGAATAAATAAATTCAAATTACATCTCATCAGGAGCTACCTAATTTCACAACAGTGGGGAACTTAGACCTGTATAACCTCTCAAATGTAGGTTCAGGAAAGTTAAGACACCAGTAGTCTTCTAATATGGATTCTCCTGGAACACAGTCCAGAGGCAAGGACAGAATGAGGGTAGGGATTGGTGGCCGATCCTGGTAGACTTAGATGGTACTGTGCAAAGATAGCAGCTTTTTAACCAGCTCTGTTGACTGCTAGTAGAAATCCACTGATTTTACTTAGTGCCTGAGAAATTCCACACATGTTGAAGTACTCATAAATTCTTCTAGAAGGAGTTTCTAGTTAATAGGAATAATTTCATACATAATAACATATTCCCCAATTGTGGTTTGGTTGTTGTCACAGCGTGTTCTGCCTGTCTCTGTTTAATCTATGGTGTTGGAGTCCAAGTCATGGGGAATATTGAAATCCAGAGAAATGTACAAAGATGTACCTTTAGATTCTGTGCCCCATTTTTATTTTTCTAATGCTATTTTAAGAGGTTATAATGATTGCTGGTGGGGCAATGGCATTTGAAGGAGTGTCACTTTAACTGGCAACACAGAGATCAAATTATCCAAATAAAAACTATTTGGTTGGAATCTTCTGGTCAATCACCTGCAAGAAGATATAGTTTAGGAAGGATTTTTTGTGTGACCTTTTAGAGGAATAGGATCAGACAAAGTATAGAATTAGATATAAGCCTCATCTTTGATAATAAAATTAGAGTGCAAGACCTAAAAAGATTTTTGGTTGCCAAGTCCATGATGATTGAGAAATGAAAAGACCAGAGACTACAAACTCAGTTGAATTCTGGAAACTCTTACCACTTTATACCATTTTATTAATTCATTATTTCTTTTCCCTTTTTCTCCTCTTCCTCCTCCTGCTTCTCCTCCTCTTCCTCCTCCTCCTCTTCTTCTTCTTATTCTACAGTGGATTTAACCCAGGTGCACTCAACCACTAAGAGACAGGGTCTCCCTGAGTTGCTTAGGGCCTCACTAGATTGCTTAGGCTGGCTTTGAACTCACAATCTTCCTGCCTCAGCCTCTAGAGCCACTGGGATTACTGTGCCCACCACAGTTTTTTATTTCTTTTTCTTTTCTTTTTTTTTTAACATTTTTTCAGTTGTTGATAGATCTTTATTTATTTATTTGTATGTGGTGCTGAGAATTGAACCCAGTGCCTCACTCATGCTGAGAATTGAACCCAGTGCCTCACACATATTAGGCAAGCACTATACCACTGAGCTACATCCCCAGCCCAGTTGTTTATTTCTTGATAGTTTTCCTATAATGATAGGAAGCCACAAAACTGGAGCAACATACCTATTTATCTTCCAAGACAACAGGGAATTAGAGGCTGGGGGAAAATTCCCAAGAGATAGAAAAAGCTTCTTAATGGCAGGACTCACTAGGTAAAGGAAGGGAGTTCAGGAAACTTGTGGAGGCTGGAAGGTGATATGGGGCAGAGCAGCCAAAATGCTCACATGATTGGATGCTTTGCATACTGCTGGGAGACAGAAGAGCAGAGTAGCTGATAAAAAGAATGTCCTTTGATCCCCTCTACTTCAAAGCATTATAGCTCTAGATTAATATTCAGTGTTTCTTTGTTGAGGTACTTTTCTTTTAGCCTCACCTCCCTTCCATTAGAGTGAGAAAACATTTCATAGTTTCCAAATTGTCTCTTCACAAGTTCTAAGGGATAAAGTAGGAGACATTTTGGAGCCTGGTACATTAGCATCCTCTTAATGCTGTATGAAGTCGAGCAGCTTTTAATGTGGATATTATCAAAACTGATTATTGAAATTGCAAGGAAGCCTTATGTGCTGCTTGCAGGCTAAGACGGATGACAGCAGCAGAGACTTTTGCATTATAAATTAGAATAAATGCTCCCTTTTTAAGCCATTGCTTTTTCAGGTTGCTAATTTATCCTTTTATCAGTGATTTATCCTTTTCCACCCACATTCTTAAACTGCCTGTCCCTCTGCCACTATTTCTTAGTGACATAGGTTTGGCTTTGCTTTCACTGATTTGGAAAATTTAGAGCTTTAGAAAGGTGTCTTAAAATTGTTGCCAAGAGTTTTCTGGAGATGGGTAATAACATCAATCGAAATTGATGGTCCCTCGAAGGAGAGTAAGTTGAAAATGTTGCCAGGGCTCTAGGAAATGACATGAAGTGGATGTTTTTCTTATTTTTTCCCCCAAATTAAGCCTTGGCTATTTCTGTGGAAAGTAAGAAACAGACATTATTTTTACTGCTATTACTAGTAGCAATAGCAATATTTACATAATATATATATATTAATATGTCTGTTAGGATTGTCTGATTTCTTACAACAGATATTGATTTTGACTAACTTAAAAGAAGATTTATTGAAAAGATATTTGGAGCACCTACAATTGTTAGAAATCTGAAGAGCCAGCCCTAGAAATAGGCAAGAGCCAAGGTAGTTCTAGAGACAAAACCAGTCCCCTCCAACCAGGCCTCCCCCAATCAGAACCATCAGAGAATGCCCACCTTGCTGGGATGGAGAGGAGCAAGAATTCAAATTCCAAGGTCAGGGTATCTTGTTTGGTCTTGCTGACATCATATGTGGGCCCCTTGTTGGGTTATGCTGGACCTCTGATTACTGAGTTATCAGACCCTAATAGGAAAGAAAGAATTGTTTAAGGGAAAATTGAACTATTATTAAAAATGAAAAATGAATGTCCAAAACTAAAAAAAAAGAATCATTGTGCTTTATAGTTTTTTATTAAAAATGTAAAGCATATCATTTTACAGCAATACTCTGAAATATGAAGGTAATATAATTACTTTATAGATTAGATACTTTATTTATTTGAATTTTTGGATTCAATATATTGAATGC